GGAGTGCCTGGTGTCATCATAGCTCACACTGCAGCCTCCAACTCCTGGGCTCAAGCGATCCTCCTGCCTCAGCCTCCCGAGTAGATGGGACTACACGTGTCACCACCATGCCCTGCTAATTTTTCTATTTTTGTAGAGATGGGGTCTCACTCTTGCTCAAGCTGCTCTTGAACTCCTGGGCTCAAGCGATCCTCCTGCCTCGGCCTCCCAAAGTGCTAGGATTATAGGCGTGAGCCCCTGCGCCCAGCCAACATATATTTTTATTTAACTTTAATTGGTTGAAACATTAAAGAAAAATCAATACCCGATTCTGTTATTGGAAAACCCTCGAGTATGTTTGGAACAACTTGGGTAAGTGAACCTGCATTTTCAACGATCCCTTTTATGAAATCTACGTACACAGATGGAGAATTTCCAATGAAAACTGAGCCTCCGATCTGAGATGGGTCTCTAGGATAAAATACTGCATCTTCAGGGCTTTTTGTGGAAAAAAGAAAAAAATCCTGTAGACAATCTCATTATTCATTTTTTAGTATCGATTACATGTTGAAATGACATTTTTGGATACATTGGGTTAAATAAAATACATTTCCTGTCTCTTGTTTCTTTTTTACCTTTTGAAAGAAAACTGAAAATTCCATACGTGGCTCGAATTGAATTATATTTCTTTTTTTTTCTGTCTGCCTTTTTTTTTTTGGTGACTCTTTTTTTCTATATTTTAGCATATTACGGGGGTACAAATGTTTAGGTTACATATATTGCCTTTGCCCCACCCGAGTCAGAGCTTCAAGCCTGTCCATCCCCTCCCATATACCTCTCCCCCGTCCCCCCTCCCATTACTGGGCATCTACCCAAAGGAATTGAATTATATTTCTAACCCTATACTTCCCTGGTCACCCACAGGGACAAACCATAGTTTGTCATTGCCCTTGACCTTAAAATGAAGTAGGCAGAACTGAATAATTCTTACTGCACTGTTCCTTTGGGTTTTTGTCCTGGTGGCACCTCCTCCAGGAAGTCTTTCTTGGTTGGACCAGACCGAGGCAAATAGCTCATTTTTTTTTTATTATCTTGTCTAGCTCCTGAAGCTCTCTTTGATGACATCAGTTATATTTTAAGTGGATTTTGGGTAGTGGCTTAGACTGTAAGTTCAGGGACAACATCTTGGAACAGTGTCCAGCACGGATCGGGTCCTCAATGGATATTTGCTGTGTAGACAAGCTTTCTCCAGGTTGTTGCCGCGTGAAAACGATTTCATTGCTTCCTCATTTAAGTGGCATTCCGTTGCTTCTCCATTAGGCGTATTGTAGAAAGAACAAACGCATGTTTACTAATATTTACTAATATTTGAGTAAATCTGTAGCGTGGCAGTGATGCTCGCAGATGCTGCATCTGTCTGCTGAGATGCGATCCTAGCACTGTTGTGTCCTTAACACTCAGCCTATGGGAGCCTTGATTTGCTCATCACAAAAATGGGCATGTAGGTGGCACCTCCTCTTGGGACCATTTTTAGAATTTAGCCTGAGTTTGGGCACATCAGAGCTGGGGCCAAGTGTTTCATTAACACATAGCAAGTGCTCAGAAAATATGAGCTACTTCCTCGCCATTTCCCGTCCCTACCTGTGTATAGAGTGGCCATTAACCAAGTGCTACCTATTAAGAACTTGAACATCCTTTGGTTCCCACCCAGAGGTATTAAAAGCCAGCAGAGAAGTCCCTGCATCTATTGCTGGCGCCACTTCTAACACCCTCTGGGTATTTTCTTGTCCCAACGGCAAATTGCTCTATTGTCTTCAACTAATGGGGACACACACGGCTTTAATGAATTAAGAGTTCAATTCATGGGAGATTTAACAAGAAAAGCAATTCTTTATTGTCTTCTGCAATTCTAGCTGTTTCCTCTTGTATTAAAACCACTTTGGGGAGATAGACTTCACATGGCCTAAAATTCATGCCACGTTTAGCGTGCAGTTAGGTGGTTTTGTATCAATACATTCAGAGTTGTGCAACCGTGGCCACGGTCAATTTTAGACCATTTTCATCATTCCCAAAAGAAACCCCGTACCCTTTAGCTATAACTCCTCATTGCCCTCTCTCCCCAGCCCCTGGCAGCCACTAATCTACTTTCTGTCTCTATGGATTTACCTATTCTGTGATATTTCACATAAATGGAATCACACACGATGTAGCCTTTTGTGTCTGGATTGGCTTTTTTCGCAGAGCATAACGTTTTGAAGGCTCATCCGTGTTGGAGCACAAATCAGAGCTTCGTTCCTTTTTATGGGTTGAGTAATCTTCCAGGGTGCGTTGATTCATTTATCAGCTGACAGACAGCTGGGCGATTTCCACTTTGCGGCTGTTACGAACAGTGTCGCGCCGGACATCTGCGCACATGTCTTTGTGTGGACATACGGTTTCGTTTCTCTTGGGGAGAGCCTAGGAGTGGAATTGCTGGGTCACAGGGAAACCGTTTGACATTTTGAGGAACGGCTAGACTGGTTTCCACGGCAGTGGTACCAGATGTTGTATCTCATGGTGGTTTGAATTTGCATCTCCCTGATGTTAATTTTTTAATGCACGTTCATGTGTCTGATTTTGGCTCTGCCGTGGCCTGGGAAGGATGGTGGGCAAGTATTCTTGGCACCTGGAGTAAATGTGTGGGTGTGTGAGACAAAGAGAGAGAGAGAGAGAGAGAGAGAGAGAGAAACCCAGGTCTGTGGTCGAATTTAAGACTATGATGCCAGATAGAATACGGGATACCCAACTGAATTTAAATTTCATATAAAAAATGAGTAATTTTTTTTTTTTTTAAGAGACAGGGTCTCTCTCTGTCACCCAGGCTGGAGTGCAGTGGCGCTATCAATGCAACCTTGAACTCCTGGGCTCAAGCAATCCTCCTGCCTCAGCCTCCTGAGTAGCTGGGACTATAGGTGCCACCACCACGCTAGGCTAATTTTTTTTCTATTTTCTGTAGAGACAGGGTCTTGCTGTATTGCCCAGGCAGGTCTCGAACTCCTGACCTCAAGCGATCCTCCCACCTCAGCCTCCCAGAGTGCTGGGACTACAGGTGTAAGCCACCTCACCCGGCCAACGATGAGTAATTTTTTAAGAATAAGTACGTCCCAAACATTGCATGGGATGGATATACTTATCCTAAAAAAAAAGGTATTCGTTGCTTATCTGAAATTCAAATGTAGCTGGACATCCTGCATTTTTATTTGCTGACCCTGGCAACCCTGCCTGTCCCTGGTGGGCTGCTTGTCCTTGACCGATTGGCTTTGCCTGTGGAGCTCCGGCCTTGTCATCTGAAGGGTCAGGGTGGGGCTTGCTGGGAGGCATTAACGGCATGGTAAATGTGGCGATCTCTGTATATGGAAGCCTCAGACTGGGGTTGCATGGCACGAGTATGGGGGCGCCTGGAATGGCCTCTTTGTCCCCTTTAAGCTGCCTCCCAGCCTGGGTTTGGCCTCCGCAGGGCCCCTGCCTGGCTCAAACACCGAACAGCAAGTGTCAAGGGCAGGGGTGGGGGTTTACTGGTAGCGGAGTCCCAGGCCTCCCCCCACAACTTCCTAGTGAGTGAGTGAATACGTGTGTTTTCCCTTGACTTAGCCTAATCCGTTCTGCCCTGAGGAATGTGACCCAGGAACATTGCTACTTTGTTTTGCCCAACTGTTTTCTTTCTAATTTGTGCTTTTTTTTTTTTTGCTGATTGTTCTCAGGGTGGATTTTTAAGAGGATTTACTATTCTTCTTTGGAACAATCTGTTTGCCTCCAAGATATTGGGGGAAAGTTTAGTGTCTTGGAGTTGTGTACTGAGACTTATGTTCCAGGAGCTGAGGGCTGTGTTTTATGTGCATATGTTGTGTGTGTGTGTGTGTGTGTGTGTGTGTGCTGGCAGGGAGAAGCTGTCTAAAGAGTTTGATTCTGACAAATGTTAAGTCAAGTATAAGGGATGCAAGGAGAAGGGAAAGGCCCACGTTGGTATACAGAGGAAAAGAAATCAGGGAAGGCTGCCTGGAGGAGGTGGCGTTTGAACTGGATCTTGCAGGATGATGGGCTGGATTTAGAAATAAGAAGCTAAGGTATAAAAAGGGCTTTGCCGGACAAAAGATAGATGAGCCTAGAGATGTCTGTTATATGTTTGGGGGAATAAAACAACAATAACAACAAAACAGCTGACACAAACGGAGCACCTACTATGTTTCAGGCCCTGCTTAAGTGCTGGCCCTGCAAAATTTCACTACTTCCCCCTCATAGATCATGTCACAGAGAAGGACTCAGGGAGCCCCGGCGTTGCACAAGAGCAGCGGACAGGCCTGTTTAGTGGGGTGCCAAGGACGGAGGAGTGGAATCTTGCGGGCTACAAGAGGGAAGTGCAGGGTGATGGGGAGCCATGGAGGATGTCGGAGCTCAGGAGGGCCCACCTTCAGAAGAATGAGCACGCAGGGCATTTGCGCAGTGGACGTCAGACTCCCCAGGAAGCCCTTGCTCTCCCCAGGTGAAAGGTAATTAGGTCTTGACGGCCAGCCAGGACACCAGGCTGGGAAGTAGAGAGCCCACAAGGTGGGAGAACTGAGAAAACACACACACTCCAGCTCTCCTTGCCCCACACGTCATGCAGGCACCTTTGTCCCCACAAATCAGTTCCCGAAGCTCTTGGACACGGACGCACTGGGGACGCCTCCCCTCTCCCCGTCAGCACCTGCCTTGTTGCTCAATCCTCTATAATCCTATTGTCCCAATTGCATCATATCAGAGGCGATGATTTTTGAAGGCTTCTAACAGGGCCTGCCAAAGGAATTATTTTCTTTGCTGTCTGCAAGTAATTGCTGAGGCGTGGACGCTTGACGGGGAAACCGTTCCTAGGGCTGGCTGCAGAATTTGTGGGGCCCGGGTCGCATGCCTGTGAACTCGGCTCTGCCCTCGGTTCTTCTAATCCTTTCCATGGGTGTATCTTTCTCTACTCACCTGTCCTGCTTTGCACTTTCTTCCCCTTCTAGTGTGTCCCGGCATGGATATCCGGAACAACCTCACCAGGCTGCACGAGCTGGAGAACTGCTCCGTCATCGAAGGACATTTGCAGATACTCTTGATGTTCAAGACGAGGCCCGAAGATTTCCGAGACCTCAGTTTCCCCAAACTCATCATGATCACTGATTACTTGCTGCTCTTCCGGGTCTACGGGCTGGAGAGCCTGAAGGACCTATTCCCCAACCTCACGGTTATCCGGGGCTCACGCCTCTTCTTCAACTACGCGCTGGTCATCTTCGAGATGGTTCACCTGAAAGAGCTCGGTCTGTACAACCTGATGAACATAACCCGGGGTTCCGTCCGCATCGAGAAAAACAACGAGCTCTGCTACTTGGCCACGATCGACTGGTCCCGTATCCTGGATTCGGTGGAGGATAATTACATCGTGTTGAACAAAGATGACAACGAGGAGTGTGGGGACATCTGTCCGGGGACTGCCAAGGGCAAGACCAACTGCCCCGCCACCGTCATCAATGGGCAGTTTGTGGAACGGTGTTGGACCCACAGTCATTGCCAGAAAGGTACGACAGGGTACGGGGTTCTCTAAGCAGTTTCTCATGCTTTGTTCTAAAGGCTTGGCCATTCAGGAGGGGCTTGGGGACAGAAACCTGCGGCATTCTCTTGTGGCCCAGGGAGTGGCAAACTTTTTCTGTAAAGGCTCAGATACTAAATACTTTAGACTTTTGCAGGCCATACAGTCTCTGTCACAACTACTCAGCTCTGCCATTGCAGCGGGCATGTAGCCACAGATGCGCATGTGGTTGTGTTTCAATAAAACTTTATTTACAAAAACAAGTCGTGGGCCGGGTTTTGAGGATTCCACTTCACCACCTCCTGTGCCAGACAGCGAATGTTTTTCCTGCTTGAGAGAAGAGTATGGAGTTGGTTTAAAAAAAAAAAAACAAAAACACAAGTTTGTTTCTTACCTGAGTATAGAAGTCAAATTGCTCCTAATAGAGATTTGGAAAAAGAAATGCGTAAAGGGGGAAAAAAAAGCAAAACGTCTGTCTTATTCCACAGTGCACACTGCTGAATTTATTGGGGGTACTTCCTTCTAGTGAGTATTTGCTAGATCTGTTGTGTCTCAGTTTCCTTAACTTTTCCTGTTATTGGGCATCAAGATTATTTTAAGTTTTCACAAAGAGACAGATGAACATTTTGGAGTCAGAGCTTTAGCTAGCGTTTGTTTCTTTAGGCCTGCTTTCCAGAAGTGAAATTTCTGGGTCAGAGGCTTTTGATACGGATTGCCAAATGGCTTTCCAGAAATGTTGTACCAACGGACGCTCCTCCTAGCATTGGAGGAGAGGGAACACCTTGGCCAGCTTTGAGTGTCGTTTGAAAAGTCTTTCATAATGTACCGTGGCGGGGAGGAGCTGTTGTGATGTCATCAGTTCTATTTGCATTTCTTTGATTGCTGTCAGGGTTGAACCTTTTAACACATATTTGTTTATCATTTGGGTTTTATCTTCCTGTTCATATCCTTTGCGCGTATATCTTTTAGTGCGTCAATGAGCTTTGAAAAAGTCATCTGTGTGTGGTTTTCATCGACGAAGGCAATGAAACCTTTGCCAATTGCATTTTTTGTTTGTTTGTTTGTTTGTTTGTTTGTTTAGTGGTTGAAAATGCCCTGGAATGTGTTTTGTCAGAGAAGCTTAAAACGTTTATGGGGTTCAGAGCTTGATTTTTGCATGTCAGATGTACTTTATGCTTCGAAAGTTTTTCTATCCATAAGAGAAAAAATGTTCCCCCAATTTTCTAATTTTAGTTATTATATTAATTATTTTTTTAAAACTTGCGTCTTCGACACGAGATCTATTTGGTGTGTGATTCAGTAGAGGTGTCAATTCTCTCCCAAATAACTAGTTGGGAACTCGATGCTATTTATTGCAGAAATCTACCCCTTCGCCGTTGCTTTTGGGTCTGTTTCTGGGTATCCGTAGATATGTCTGCCTTTCCTTGCACTAGGACCGATAACTGTTCCAATCACCACAGTTTTATAATGTTTTGACATCCAAGAAGGCGATTCTGCACACATACTCTTTGCTTGTTTATTGTTTCATGGACCTCTTTCACATGTTTCCCTGGGAAGAATTAGTGAATGTGAAATTGAGGTGGTAGAAAGTAAGTGGGTGGCTTAAGGGTTGTATCACAAAAGATAGGGGAGGGCAGAAAGGAGGATATTTTCACCTTAGTCCAAAGCTATAGGGAAGCCACACAGAATGAGTGAGACCTGAATAGAACCCTTGGAATTGTCTGTGAGGACTCCCTCGGATGCCTAGGGAGGAGGCTCCAAGTCACTCCTCCATCCCTGAACAACCATGGGACATGGTTGGATGCTTGGATGGTAAGGAATGGGAGGTGAGAGAGTTGAGGAAGGAGGGCTGGGCCAGAGAAGAGAGATAAGGGAGGGGACGGTTATTACTAGAGTGCGGAAAAATCTTGAGAACGTTGTAGGTCAAGGAGTCAGGGACAAAGAGAAGCTCAACTATGACCAGAGAGGTTACTTAACTTGTCCAAGGTCACACAGCCAATAAAAGACAGAGCTGGGCTTTGTGCTAAGTCTATGCAATACGCACACACACAAAGCATGTTTTTCTGGGGAGAGGTGGGAGGAGTGTCCCCTCTGTTTAGAAACAGAGGAGCTACTTCTAGCTGGGACACCAGGGCTGAGTCCTTCAAATTTAGGTGCTTGTTTGTAAATGCTCCGGGATCACCCATCTTGAGATACAATTTAAGACATTCCTCTGTGGAGTTATTTTCCTCTCTATTTTAGTCAAAATATCCAGAAGGGCTTTATCTGCTGTCGAGTCTGCCGTTCCCTGATGTTTTGAGTGGATTTAAAAAAAAAAAAATCTTTTGCTATCGAGAACTGGGCTTGCTTTACTGGCACTAGGAGTTTTGTCACCCGGGGAAGGCGAAGCCACACGTATTGCCGTGCCCAGCACCTCCCAGGGGTACCGGGCTCCTGGCATCTGGCATTTTTATCTCAGCCAGCCGTCCCCAGGTGTCCCGCCGTGTCCTGGTAACGATGTCAAGACACGATCGTTTTTTGAACTGCTGCCCCTGGCTTTATTTTTCCTCTTCGATTTCTTGAATTGTGGCGGAACACACGGAACGTAGATTTTGCCATCTCAACCGTGTTTTAAGTGCACGGCTCAGCGGTTTTAAGTACACGCACGTGGTTGGGCAACTGTCACCGCCCTCCGTCTCCAGAACTTCCTCATCTTCCCAAACTGACACTCTGTCCCCATGAAACACTCACTCCCCACCCCCTCCCCAGCCCCTGGTGTGAATCTGACGACTCCAGGCACGTCCTGTGAGTGGATCACGCAGGATTTGTCCTTTTGTGACCGGCTTATTTCACAGAGCGTGATGTCCTCAAGGTGCATCCACGTGGTAGCCTGTGTCGGAAATTCTTTTCTTTTTAAGGCTGAATCGTATTCCATTGTAGGGATCTAGCACATTCTGCCTGTCCACTCACCCGTCGGTAGACACTTGGGTTGCGACTGTGCATCAGGCCGTCGTGAACGCAGATTGACAGCTTCCGCTTTTAAATGCTCACGTTGACATTTGCTGCTGCGGCTCTGGGAGGCTTATATTGACCGTGAGGTCGGATTTCCGAACACAAAACAGACTGAGCCTTTAGAGGGGACCCCCTTGTCTTAGGCGAAAGAAACAGCTCGGTGAAAACTACTGATCAGTTTTTCTCTTGCTGCAGAATCTTCTCGAACACTTCCTCTGGCGTCTGTAGTCACCATCCTTTTTCTCACACAATTGCCAGTTTCTGGAAGCATCTGGGGATGGGTCAACCTTTGGAATGACGGTGCCGGATTGTCCTCTATCTCATTTAAACGTTGTCTACAGTGTCCACCCCTTCTTCTGTCTGTCCCCCAAACAATAATGCTATTTTGGCAGAGAGAGAGAGCGAAGGAAGCTTTCCAATGGTTAAAAGAATTGAAAGAAAAAAAAAAAACCACTGTGGTGGGTGCCGATGGGCGGAGCTCTTCCTGTCAATCATCCTGTTTATGGATTTGGGGCGAAGATGCCAGAAGAGGCCAAATGCAAAGAGCCTTGAATGGGGAGAGTGGAGACGGGGTCTGGGCGGCACGTTTATTGACAGCCTGCTGTGTGCCAGGCTCTGGAGTACTTGGGGCATAGGGGAGACACTGAACACGTGATCCGCACGCTAGCGAGAAGTGGGGAGTTACAAGGGGGAGATCTCTGTGGACGGAAGCCCAAGATGAGGCCCCAAACCAGTCTTCGGAGTCAGAGAGCATCTCCCCCTTAAAACTGGGGTGTCATTAAGTTCCCAGAGGTCAGCTTCCTTGGAACCATTTTTGGGTAGTTATGAGAAGTGCTCAGAATCAGGCAGAACTGGCTTCGGGTACCATTTTGCCATTCACTGGTCACGAGCTGGATTCAAGCCTCAGTTTCCTCATCTGAAAAATGGGGCTTGCAATGGAACCTGCTTCTTAGGGTTGTGCTTTGGGGGTTAAATGAGAAGGTGCAAGGAGTGTACTTAGCTCAGCGCCTGGCACTCCGTGAGTGCTCCGGAAGCTTCCAGTAAGCAAACTCCATGGGCCCACCCTTTCTGGGCAGACAAGCTGCCGGGCGACGACCTGCCCCATTTCTGACTTCGGTTTTGAGGCAGGCAGATCTCCTGACCTGCCGATGGGACGTGAGTGTCAGACCTACAGCCTCAGAGGGAAGGCCACCTTGATCACCTGATACTACAGCTTAGGATGTTCTAGAAACTCCTACTTGTGGGCATTTTGAGGCAACCACAAGGCTTGCCTGGCCAGCTGCTCTAGCCAAACCCACTGGCATTTTCTTCCTGGGAGGTCACCCCAGCTGCTTGTTGCCGATCAGAGGGTGGGCGAGGCCGGGACGTGCTGGGTGCCAGGGGAAACCGGCTGGCAATGTCACATGTGGACTTTGGCACTGAAGTGAGGGTGGTGGGCGGCTGAAGGCAGCAAAGCCCTCCTCCCCGGTCTGAGATTACAGCCCCGCGTCAAACTCTCTGAAAGCGTGGTGCTCTATTGACCACGTTAAATACCAGATTTTTAAATGCATGCTCTTGGAGGGCTTGATGTTCAGCAGAATTTGTAGCCGCTTGTGGAAACTCTCTGCTTCTTGTTCTTCTTCTGTTTAAAGTTTGCCTTGATATTTTAATCATCAGAATCGCCTTTACAGCAAAGGCTGGTGAGTGCCAGACACAGTTCAAGTGCCTGTGAGGCTTGGGAAGGAAGGAAGGAAGGAAGGAAGGAAGGAAGGAAGGAAGGAAGGAAGGGAGGGAGGGAGGAAGGGAGGAAGGAGAGAAAAGAAATTGGAGCCTTTTCTTCCTGGTTCTTTCTGGAGTTGGGAAAAGCTGGGTTGAGAGGGTAAAGAAAACAAAAAACAAAAAACAAACAAAAAGAAATTAGAAGATACATCCCCTAGAATTTGCTTCTGCCAACATTCTGGCTGCCTTCTCTGCTCTCTGATCCCTCTCCCATCCCATCTGGACTCAGCTGCCTCTCCC